TGCAAATGAATTTCTAGAACACTAAAATGGGGCCCCTCTCTCAGCTGTGTGGTCTCAAGACAAACATTTTGAAACATAATTTTAGTAAGTTTAGAAGAGTAAGGGATAGTGTCCTTTGTTCCCACATGAAGCACAAGGCCCACAGCTGCTGCTACAACTGCCCTCCCTAACCAAAGGCTAGGCCCTTTCCCCACATCACTTGTGTCTTTCTCATCTCTAGGAATGCACTGCTATTCTTTGGCTACAACCATAAGCCAGCCTGAACTTTTTTTCTCTGCCTCCTTCACACTACATGGTTGCTCTAAGGAACTGTGTTGAGGTTATTGATTACTATTAGAAAGGGCAACTTTTGTCTATGGTAAGGTAGTAAAACCTTTTGTCCCCAATATGCTACTAAGCAAAAGAAGCAAAAGAAGTGTCAGACGCCAGTATACCTCTGCAGCCTACATTATTACATGCTAGGTCTTTTCTCTTTCCCAAATATTGCAATCATGGGAACCCTTGGGTGCAGCACCTTGGTCCTGCATCCCCACAGAGGTGGAAGGAGTAACTTTTCCTGCCTGCATAAAGAAATCCTAGAGTTGCACACAACTTCCAGTACATGAAAATGGAGGCAACAGATTCCAGGAGAACTGGAATATTGGCATTTAATGCTTCATGTATTAAAAATATTCAGGAGGTTAAATAACAGCTCGGAAAGTCACCAGTTCTGTGACCTTGGTGGACCAGTCACATCCCTTCTCTCTGGATTCAGTTTCCTTATCAGTAAAAAGAGGTTGTTTGTTTAAATTATCCATAAAATCATTCTCAATTCTCTTTTCTATGAAATGACTCAGGATATTTACAGGGGCTTGAAGCACAAATAATTTTGCTTTTAATTTAATCAGTAGTTTAAACTGAAAGCACCTTTTTGGTCAATTGAATTGTAATTTTATTTGGGAGATCTTGTTAATCATGTAGCTTATATAAATAAGTTTGTATTTGTTGTATGTACTGTCAACTCAATTCTGACTCATAGTGACCATATAGGACAGAGTAGAACTGCCCCAGGGGGTTTTCCTAAGCTGTAACTTTTATGGGATGTAGATTGCCAGGTCTTTTCTCCCATGGAGTAGTTGATGGGTTCAAACCAGCGTTTTGGTTAGCAACTGAGCACTTAACCACTGTACCACCGGAACGTCTTAGTTTGTGTTAGTCAACCAAAGTACTGATGAAACAGATGCTCTAGATCTCATGGAAATCAGGAAAGATAAGACCTATTTCATAAGGGAGGAACAATTACTAGACAAATGAACTGAGAGTTGCTCTACACTATAAACTTTGAAGGAAAGAAGACAAAGATTGGCTTCTACTCTCATGGGAGAGATCATGGGAAGGCAGGCAATTCACCCAAAGAGGATAAATAAAAGGTGCTTGAGATCAGTCTTTTGAAATAGGTTGAAAGATGATAGGGAGAGATGCTCACCTTAGTTTTCTTAATTTCATCTTCTCTTCAATTTTGAGTTTACCTCCTCTGAAAAAAATCTCTAATCTCTCTTTTCTGAATGCCTATAACATGTATTGTTCTTTATCATCCTTTTGATGACGTGTACTGGCTCTGGAGTCAGATTCCTTGGTTTCTAATCCTGGCTCTCTAGTTTACAAGCTATGACTCTAGAACAGGTTTCTTAGCCTCTCCTACACAGCTTCTTTAACTGTACAATGGACATATATATTCACAATGCCTTTGGTAAAGGGCTTCTCTCAGAATTTATCTCCATGGCCTTGTACAATGCCCAGCTCATTGTAATTGACTGTTGTATTACATTGTGTATTATATTTGTCTTGTAGTCTTATCTCTTGAGTATGTGCTTTGTTTCCAAAACTTGACTCCACAGTTTATAAATTAGTTCATATAGGCCAGCAATGAGAGATATATCTATAGAGCAATTTGGGGCTAGATTATTAAAGACTTTTAACTATCAGTTTACCCAGACCTGCTCTGGGTTCACTTTCCCCTCTAGTATAACACCTGAATCCACGTTAAATTGTGGCAATGTGAATTCTTGACCGATGCCTATCCCACTCAACAGCAGCCAGTCCAATCAAGCATTCAGATAACTGGCCAAGGTGTGAGTCTGAAGTGCACAAGAGGATCCAGATGGTCTTGGTGTTTAGGAGCTGTTTATGATTTTCTTAGGTATTTCTGGCTACTGAAAACCAAAACCAAACTCACTGCCATCAAGTCAATTCTGACTCATAGCAACCCCCATTGTGTTTCTGAAGTGGTGTCTTTGCAGAAGATTACCCCATCTTCCTTCTGCAGAGTGCCTGGTGGGTTTGAACGACAAACATTTTGGTTAGCAGTCAAATGCTTTAGGCACTATGCCACCAGAGCTCCTTTCTGGCTACTTGGCAATGGGTAATTTCATTATTTCCTCTAAGTCAAATCACACAGAATACAATTTATACCCTCTTCCTTTAGCTCTTCTAATGGTATACATATAGAGAGATGACCTACCTTGCATTTTCCTTATCAAAGAACCTTCTGTCACTATCTGGAGAACTCATTTTCAACGAGCTCAAAGGTCATCCATGGTTAATGCACTGAATCATGTCCTTTAAAATGCTTTCTCAGCTTTACTTCTCCAGCATTCCCCTACCCCCACCAACAGTTTGATTTGAGCTATTCAGAAAAAGAATACAATTTAATACTTGTACATATTGACTCCTACTTACTGTGAAGTAAATGTTTCACAGCCTAGATTTGGCAAGCCTTGATTTCCTTATAGGTTGCTGTGAGAGGTGCATTTTAACCTGGTATTAGTAGAGCTTTGAGAATTTTAAATATCTTCATCCAAGTAGTTGGAAAGTTTGTAGAAGAGCGTCTGGCTGTTCTCACCTCTTCAGTGATCTGTGGATGAGCACTGCCAACTCCTAGCTCTGCAACTTCCCCTTTCATGTTTCTCCTCTCCATTTCCATTTTATTTTAACTTTAAAGAATGAATTTTTGATGACTTTTTTAGTTCTATTTTGTCAGCATACACATGCAGCCACACAGAAATTTGATTATAGTTGTACAGTGTTGTGAGAAATTTTGCAATTGGATTCCAAAATGACAGGCAGTGTAAATCACAAAGTACAAAACATTATATGGTAAAGCACTGTCAGCAATAAGTAGCTCTTTCAGAGGAAATAACTTCATAAAAGAAAGAATTAGTCTGGAGCAGGAAACAAACTTCACAGTTAGGGCAGGAAGAGCCCCATTTAGGGAGGCACCTTAGGGACAAGGACGATGGGCACATTTACAAAACTCTTAATCCCATGCAATCCTCCAACTGTTGTCAAAGAAATTGCATTACAGATTTGCCAGTTTTTTTCCCAAAGTTATACTCGTTGCCGTTCAGTCGATTCTGACTCATGTCGACCCTACAGGACAGAGTGGAATTACCTCATAAGGTTTCTAAGGCTGTAAACTTTACGGAAGCAGACTGCTACATCCGTCTCCCGCAGAGTGGCTGGTGGGTCCCAACCAACAACCTTTCAGAAGCTCTTAACCGCTGCGCCACCAGGGGTCCTTTTTCCTAAAGATATGGTTGTTGTGTGCAGTCCAGTCAATTCCAACTCACAGCGATTTTACAGACAGGAGAACTGCCCTACAGGGTTTCCCATTTTTTACCGGAGTAGATCACTAGGTCTGTTCTCCCGCTGAGCGGCTGGTGGGTTCGAACTTCCAGCGTTTCAGTTAGGCTACCGTTTAACCGTTGCGCAACCCGGGCTATTCCCCTAAACATATACTGGATCTTTATTTTCCGAGAATCATTCACTCAGCATTGTTGAATACCTAAATTGTGCCGAGGACTGTGCAGGGATGGATTTGCAAAGATGCAAAGAGCACAGTTGCTGTTCTCACACGCTCCTATCTTCACAACAGAACATGCTAGGAAGTGGGTATAAAGGGCCTTTTGGCAGAAAGAGCACGGAGAAAGAAGCAACTAAAAGCCCAACCTGGGAGTCCACAGGGCTCCACAGAGGAAGTGAGCTCTGATCTGAAGGACGATTTTGCCAGGCTTTTTTTTTTTTTAAATCTTTCAAAACTAAATGATTAATAAATAGATTGTCCAGAAGAGGAAGAGTTAGGATGAAGTAAGGTTAGGATGAGCAAGGACTCATACGGACAAATCGCCTGACATGACCAGTAAAGAGGATCCAGATTACAAATAAATGATAATTGATCAAACTGATATTAGCCTGTGTGGAGTGTGTTCTACACACTTGCACTCTAGGCATTCAGAAAATGTTGCTGCTGTTCCTGAATATCACGTTAGGGACTAGGAGAGAGTTCACCACTTCCCTCAAATTTTGCACACAAAGGGAGGGAAAGGCTAATTTCATGGCTCAAACCCTTTCCTCCTCTCCTACATCGGTAGTTTTAGAATGTCTGCAGGCATTTTAGAGGTTTTCCTATGCTCTTTTGAAGAAAGGAAGTAAGAAAAGCATTTAAATTAGCGGGAGGGCGGTTAACACCCGCAGCCGGCCCACCGCACGCCTCATTGCCCGTCCCAGTTCGCCCAGCTCTGCGCCGCGCCTTGGGTGGAATCCTAACAGCTTTAACGGCCGCCGGGCAGCAACAGCTCCCGGGAAGCACGCGGCAGGCGTTGCGCAGCAGGGACTACCAGACCAGCAGCTTGTTAAGAAGGTGCAGAAAGCTAGGCGAGGCCCGGCCGTGGGCACCTTTTGATGAACAGGCCTTATAGCCAATGGGAAGCCTGGTCGACTTTTCTCCCTGCCAATAAGTGGGACTCAGGCTGGGGCGGGGGGCGCTTCCCGTGGGCTGCTGCTGGACTCGATCCCGTCAGACTGTCGTGAAGGCGGGGGCGGAGGCTAGGTCTGGGCGGCGGGGAGCGGATTTGGGGAGGAGGGAAGACCGGAAGCCACAGTTGCGTCCCCATCCCTAGATTCGCTCCCCCAGGCAGGGAGCAGAGACGTAGGAGGGAGAAGCTGAATGTTGGGTTGGTAATAAAGGGGAGCGGCCGCTTCGGAGCCACCGGGGTGCCCTCCATCCTGTCGGCTCACCGCACTTACCGGCTCCCAGGCTTCTGGGCGCGTGTCCCCTGCGGACAGTCCGGCCGCGCCGATCTACGCAGAGGCGCTGCCCGCGGCGGGAACTGACCGGCGGCATCCAAGGCCCGCGCCCTGCCACTACCCCCATCCGCTGCCCGCCGGTCTCTCCGGTCGCCGCCATGTCCTCCTCCTCCTCCTCCCCCAGGGAGACGTACGAGGAGGATCAGGAGTACGAGAGCCAGGCCAAGCGCCTTAAGACTGAGGAGGGGGAGATCGACTACTCGGCAGAGGAAGGCGAGAACCGCCGGGAATCAACGCCCAGGAGCGGGGCCGATGGCGGCAGCGGCCGGAGCTTCTCACAACCGGTAACAAAGCGCGACGCCCCGTCTGCGGTACCTGGCAACTTCCCGGGAAGCAAGGCCCCAGCGGCGAGGACTCCAGCGGGGAGGATTCGGCCCCTAGGCCCCCGCCCGCCTAGCTTCCTTTTTTTTTTTTTTTGCTGCGCTGACCGGCTAGGAAGCGCCAGCTGTTCTTTTGGGGGCTTTCATTCTTTGCCCTGTTTCCCGCATCTCGAACGTGAATATGGCTCGGGCCTGATGGAGGGAGGCCCTGCTGCTAGTCCGCTGCTGGCCCCTGAACTTGGGAGGGGTCGCGAAGCGGGGCGGCGGGGCGGCGCTGCCTCGGAGCTGGGCTCTTTGGTGCGAGGTTAGCTCTTTGTTAGTTTAACTCGTCGAGTTTTTAGCTGATGACCGACCCTCTTCAGTCTTTCCGCCCACAGCTTCCACGCGCTGCTGCCATCCGGGGGTGGTGGTGGTCAGGGTCGCAGGACGGTTGGTTGCATCTCTGGTTCCACCGAGGAGGGCTCGCCTTGCCTGAGTTCTGAGCAGAGCCGTAACTAAATGACATGTTACACGCTGAGACATCCTTATTTCCCTGGAGGTTTAATTTAAAAATTTTTTACTCTTTGCAGGCATGACGTGTATGCTTTGTTAGTTTCTTGATTATTCCTCAGTACGATTTTTAGGTCCCCGGTTAAAAAAGAGTGTTGGTAGGTGTGTTACTACATCCCTGTTTTCAAAAAGTAAAACATATCTTAAAATCATTTCAGTTGTTCACTGGCACTTTATTGCAAATTTGCCTCACCAAGGAAGGAACTGAATTCAGGATTGCATTAAATACAGGTTCCTCGATTCTTGTTTTTCATCAAACATGTTAGTTGAAGGAACGTGAAATTCATTTTATCCACAGCAAGTAGTTACTCAGGTTTATTTGGGTAGAGACTTTGAGGAAACAGAACAATGCAAAAGTTTTTACCCTTTTTTGGTGCACTTTCCCGTTACTGCCTTAATGACTTAGATGCTCTTAAAAATGTAACACACGTTGTAACTAATTCAGCAAACTGTAATTAAAATGGACAGAATTGTACACACATATTCTATTATATAAAAATGTTTTTCACATTATTTATAAGAGGCACATTAGAAGCCCTTTAGCTGCTGTTTGAACTTTTATGTAAAAAAAAAGTCTGGTCAGTAGTGTCCCAATTGTTACAGTTTCCAAATAAGATAAGGTGATGGATGAGGTTGCAACATATTTTAAAATTTTTTCTTCATCTAAATAATTTCCTTATGCCTAGGTATTACTTTTGATGTTTGTGCCTGGCTGCCTGGAATATTCAAAGTGTAATGTGAAAATGTGAATAAAGGAAATGCATTTCTTAGGAAGTTTCAGTTCAAAGCCAACTACATTCTCTTGAAAGGTTATGGAAATAGGTATATTATAATCAATATTTAGGTGGATACTTTTGCCAAGAATCTTGTGTAAGTTTTTGTGCAGCAGCCTTTTTTATATATATATACAGATGAACAAAATAATAAACCAATAGTAGTATTATTTTGAATGATGTTGGGAAGAAAATAATATATAATTAATGTTCTCAAGCTGAGTTGTGTAGCAGTGGAAATAGCACTGAGCCAGAGGGAGGGTCAGGAAGTGAGAGCTAGCATGTAATCTGTGTGACTGAGAAAGTCAGTTATCTACTACTATGAATTCCCTTAGTCTATAAACTCTGAAAGTTGAACTACATGTTTTCCATACCTGAAGTTGTAGTTCAGTAATTAACATAATGCAGCCTTTAAATTACCTAGACAGGAGCTAATATATGCAGATTGAGTTATAAATTATAATTTTTGTTTATCTTAATGCTGTAATATTTCTTAGGAGAGGGTAAGTTGTTTTTATTTAATAGAAACAATATTGTACAAAGAAGTTTGTGAAGGCTTCTTTTAAACATTTTGTTTTCCTAAAGTTAATTTTTGGTACTGTTTTAAAATGGTTGAAATTATGGAAACCTGTTCATAATGAAAATTCTACTACTGGGACGGGAATTTGCTGGATAGAAATTTACTGTCTAGTACCTCATCATCCAGAAGTATGGTATTTCATCTAACTGAAAAAGGGTTGGGCTGACCCAGTGGTTCTTCAGCCCAGAGTAGAAATATCTTTGGTCAAACTGTCTTAAGTAAATGTAGATTAAGTAACAATGATGAGCAATCTTTTTGACTCTAGTTGGAAGTTTGCAAATGAAAAATAAGACTGCAAAGATTTATATTGTTTGGCTTTTTATGATTAACTTTCCACACACAAAAAAACCCCAAACTCACTGCCATGGAGTAGATTCTGACTCACAGTGACCCCTCCTTGGGTTCTATGAAAGTTGATTGCCCAGTCTTCCTTCTGAGAAGTGGCTGGGTTTGAACTGACAGCCTTCTGGATAGCAGTCAGGTGCCTTAGGCACTATGCCATCAGAATGATATACCAACTAAATTTAAAAGAAAAAGTGAATATTTAGGAAAAATGTGGTTCTTCTAGGTTCCAGATGTTGTCAAGTAGACTCAGTTCTGACTCATGTTGACCCTATGTCAGACAGAACTGTGCTCCTCAGTATCAATAGCTGATTTTTCAGAAGTAGATCTCCAGACCTTCCAAGGCACCTCAGGATGCACTGCTTGAGCCTCTGAGTGTACTCAAACCACCAGCCTTTCTGTTAACAACCAAATGCATTAAGCATTTTCACCACTACCCTACAAATTCTCCTGACTTAATGAGTTGATCATCGTGAACGATCATGATATTTTAGAGTGTAAATAGAAGTGAAAGTACTTAGTACTTTGAATATGAAAAATAAGACAGCCTTCAAAGGTGTCTTCTAGCACTTACTTTAGGAGCTCTGGTAGCGTAGTGCTTAAGGCACTTGACTGCTAACCAGAAGGCTGGCGGTTCAAACCCACCAGCCCCTCCTTGGAAGGAAGATGGGGCAATCTACTTCCGCAGTGATGTTGTTATTGTTGTTATGTGCCGTCGAGTCGACCCCGACTCATAGCAACCCCTCCTTGGGTTTCCGAGGCAGTATTA